TCACTTCTTTCACCAAATTCAACTTAAAACCTGCATAAAACACTTAAATCAAGCATAAACCTGTCCATCTCTCTTATTTCTAAAAATATGATTAAAAGCATGATTTCAAGCTAGTTTTTAAGTATTAAAGGTTGCTTTTAGTATCAATTTTAAGCATGAAAATAACAGTTTTTCAACTGTTATCAACAAGCAAGAAATTAAATGGTAAGAAAAGAAGGCTAACCACTAAAAAAGATTATCTAAAGAAAGGTACTAGAGTAGATGCACAAAAACAAAAACTACTGGAATGTAAATGTGGGGCTTCTTATCTTTGGCAATCTTTGAGCAAATGGGGCAATAAGGCCACTGCGCAGAAGCTTAACGACAACCAACCCTCATATTCCTATGTCTAGGCAATATGCTATTGGGAGAAATTCCTTGGATCTAGATTTCCCCGTTCCCATATCGACAAAATCAATAATCATGACATTGAATGAGTTAAACAATGCAAGCTTTAAGCAAAGAGGAAAAACCCTAACTAATGATGAAAGAAAGCATGTATCTTAAAATAAGATGTTAAAACACAAATTCCATATATGAGAGTTTCACAAGACTACAATGATTCCCCAACAACAATACAAGGTTTAATTCACCATATTCATGATGAAACTAGATGAACAATAATGAAAGAATGGAAGAGATAGAAAAACCCTAGAAAGAGAAGAGGAGAGCCGTCACCATCTCCCAATCTACCCCCAAGGGGTGAAAAGTGTATTTCTACTTCGTCCCAACCAAAGATACAAACCCTAGGACATCCTAAAGCTTATATAATATTCTAAAATATACAGAAAATTAGGCCCAAGCCCAAAATAGTGCCGCTCAGCGGTAAGTGCGTGAGTTGTTTCTTCCCCTCAGCGGCATTTTCACCCCTCAGCGGAGCCAACGTGGTTTCCTAAGTGCCGCTCAGCGGTAAACTGTCGTTGAGCAGTAGTTGCAACTTCTCCTTTTGCACTTTTCTATGTCTTTTTTGTTTCCATCTCTATTCTTTATCACTTCTTTCACCAAATTCAACTTAAAACCTGCATAAAACACTTAAATCAAGCATAAACCTGTCCATCTCTCTTATTTCTAAAAATATGATTAAAAGCATGATTTCAAGCTAGTTTTTAAGTATTAAAGGTTGCTTTTAGTATCAATTTTAAGCATGAAAATAACAGTTTTTCAACTGTTATCAACAAGCAAGAAATTAAATGGTAAGAAAAGAAGGCTAACCACTAAAAAAGATTATCTAAAGAAAGGTACTAGAGTAGATGCACAAAAACAAAAACTACTGGAATGTAAATGTGGGGCTTCTTATCTTTGGCAATCTTTGAGCAAATGGGGCAATAAGGCCACTGCGCAGAAGCTTAACGACAACCAACCCTCATATTCCTATGTCTAGGCAATATGCTATTGGGAGAAATTCCTTGGATCTAGATTTCCCCGTTCCCATATCGACAAAATCAATAATCATGACATTGAATGAGTTAAACAATGCAAGCTTTAAGCAAAGAGGAAAAACCCTAACTAATGATGAAAGAAAGCATGTATCTTAAAATAAGATGTTAAAACACAAATTCCATATATGAGAGTTTCACAAGACTACAATGATTCCCCAACAATAATACAAGGTTTAATTCACCATATTCATGATGAAACTAGATGAACAATAATGAAAGAATGGAAGAGATAGAAAAACCCTAGAAAGAGAAGAGGAGAGCCGTCACCATCTCCCAATCTACCCCCAAGGAGTGAAAAGTGTATTTCTACTTCGTCCCAACCAAAGATACAAACCCTAGGACATCCTAAAGCTTATATAATATTCTAAAATATACAGAAAATTAGGCCCAAGCCCAAAATAGCGTCGCTCAGCGGTAAGTGCGTGAGTTGTTTCTTCCCCTCAGCGGCATTTTCACCCCTCAGCGGAGCCAACGTGGTTTCCTAAGTGCCGCTCAGCGGTAAACTGTCGTTGAGCAGTAGTTGCAACTTCTCCTTTTGCACTTTTCTATGTCTTTTCTGTTTCCATCTCTATTCTTTATCACTTCTTTCACCAAATTCAACTTAAAACCTGCATAAAACACTGAAATCAAGCATAAACCTGTCCATCTCTCTTATTTCTAAAAATATGATTAAAAGCATGATTTCAAGCTAGTTTTTAAGCATTAAAGGTTGCTTTTAGTATCAATTTTAAGCATGAAAATAACAGTTTTTCAACTGTTATCAACAAGCAAGAAATTAAATGGTAAGAAAAGAAGGCTAACCACTAAAAAAGATTATCTAAAGAAAGGTACTAGAGTAGATGCACAAAAACAAAAACTACTGGAATGTAAATGTGGGGCTTCTTATCTTTGGCAATCTTTGAGCAAATGGGGCAATAAGGCCACTCTTTTAGCATAATTGGCCAACACTTAAACTGTTGGAAAGTGCAATAAAATGCACAAAAAAGAGAGCAAAACGTCCAAAACAGATTCACCAAGCAAAACAGTGATAGTGGTCAAATGCACACAAATTTTCAACACTTTTCTAAGCTATCTTTGATAACTTTTTGAGGCTTTTGCTTAAAAGCTTTTAGTACTTATTTTTCCACTATTTTTAAGTGCAAAACAAGACCACCACACACTAGAAATAAAGATGATATTTTGATTTTGAAAGCTGAGAGAACAAGAAACACAAAGTAAAAGAAAACCTATAATAATCAAAATAGAGTTTGAAACTTCAACAAGACAATAGAGAAGTTTTTTTTAAGAACTTACCGATGATTTAATGACAAGTATGAACCCAAAATGTAAAGATAAGGCACTCAAAAGGTTGTATATGATGCAGTTTTAAAATCCAAGTTGTATATAATTTTTTGTGATTTTTCAAAGCACACACTAAAAGTAAATAACAATAAAAGGACTACACATGACTCTAGACAATATGGATGGATTAGAAAATCAAAATGACTCAAAATATTGAAAGTGACCGAACATATATGAACAAAAGACTCAACATAAAAACTTAGAAGCATACATATAATAGCCTAAACTACCAAAACAAAATCTGGAAAATGTTGATGACAACATCCTAGAAGTTATGACCTTTGACTATTTTGATCATAAATTTCTTCAAAGATCTCCAAAATAAATGATTTTTTTAAACTAGACTTAAAGGGCTTTAATGTGACTATAAATACATACTATTTGAACCTCTAAGCTAGTTGCAATTTAGTTTTGAAAATCGTAAACATTAAGTGCAAAGTAAAGGAGGATGATTTAGACCATTTCAAGATAGCTACAAAAAGACAATAAGGAGAAAAAATGACCAACACAAAAATATAATGATAGATAAAGAATCAAAAGACTTAGCTCTTGAAGAACCTAAGCTCCTGATACCAAATGTGTTTTCAATACTTTATAAAAAGTAGGTTGTACTAACTCTTTGGCTCAACTTTTAATAAAGAGAACATTCCAGGAATGTCTTCTTTGTCTCAAATGTTCACTTCTGACTTGTATATGATATATCAGGTGGATGCTTGACATAGGTAATATGTAAAGATTATAGTAGATATGCATACAGACATATATGTCCTTTTTCTTATTAGTTTTGTTGTTTTGAAATGTTGTGCATTCAATGCTCTTTAATGTGTGTTCATAACAATTATAAATTTTTCAAATTTTCTATTGCTCAAGTAAGATTTGATCGTTATAGCATTTTTTTTAAAGATACCTAGCAATTCATAAAGATTTCATCGTTGGATGAAAACATTGTTTGGTACAAGGTATTGTTTGGCCTATGCAAGGCGTTTCCTAACAACGCTTAGTTTGGTATACTCAGTTTGGTTCAAGAGCACTTTTAGCAAAATGTCTTTCAACACATGTTTTGGAACAATGTTTATATCTTTTAGCATGTTCAGCAAAAACATCATTTTGTACATTATAATGAGAGCTCGTCTAACATTGTTCAACAAAGTATAGTAAGAGCACATTTAGCAAAATTTCTCATATAGTACATTGACGCATTTTGTGAGAAAATTATTTTGTAGTGCGTCCACTAAGATATTAGTATGTTTACTAAATCTTTTCTTAAAACACTTAAATTTCATAAAGCCTTTTCACAAAACGCTTATCATTCAGTAAAATTATTTTCCAAAATATAACACTTTATCATATACTCATTTTGTTAAATATTATTTGTTAAACCTCAAAACATATGAAGATGTTAGATGGTTCAGTCTTATAAACGATCTTGTCTTAACATCATAACCTCCACTTCATCATCTCACCTCCCACATTATGTTCATTACCAGCCACAATCTGTATGTTAGACTCAGTGTTGTGATAACCATCTTCATTCAAACACTACCAACATGTAAAGTTTGTCGTTAACAATTTAGGTTACATCATAATAAAATATCAAATTGAATATAAATTACCAAAATTGAGATCATATTGAATACTTACAAAAAATGAGTCGTTGATCAAAATAGAACAAAAAGAGTATTTAAGCCTTATTAAAATTATAAACTTTTAGATCAACCAACTTCCTTTGCACATATTCAAAAATTTCAAACTATAATCTGTCAACGATTATCACTAGCTGGTGTTATGCTAATATTATTTCTTTCCATCTTTGAATATATTTTTCAGATCTTACGTAAGAAAGTTTCTTTTTTTGATTTTCATTTTAGTTATAGGCTAAGTGATTGAAATTGACATCTAAATTCGTGAGTTGTGTTCTACATGGGTTTCTTTTTTATTCAGCAGTGTCCTACACGTATGATTCTCTGCATCTACTTTTTTAAGTATCCACTTTTTATTTTATCTAGGGGAGGGAGTTGAATTCACAACTTTTTTTTTTAATTTTTCTTTCAAACTAATTAAACTAATCTTATAACTCTCCAATATCAGAAAGTTGAAGATTGAATTTAGATTTTTCTCTTATTGTGCATTTGAATATTGTTCATTACATTGACCGAAACTAACCGTTTGCACTGAATTGTAATAACATTGATTGCAACATTTTTTAAATCAGTTATTGTCTCTTTCTCACTGAATTTAAGTATTTGAATCAGACAGCAATTGACACAACAGTGTGGTGAAGGAAAACACAAACCTCGGAGCAAGAAATGGAGGAGAGGATAAACTATGTGGCTCACTGTCTTGTTCTACCTTATCCTGCACAAGGACACATAAATCCTATGCTTGAGTTTTCAAAACGTTTGATTCAGAGAGGAGTGAAGGTCACACTGGTAACTGTTGTGTCCAACTGGAAGGTCGTTAGCAGAAAAAAATTCACTTCTATAGAAGTTGGGAGCATATCAGATGGCTACGATGAAGGAGGCCTTGCAGCAGCAGAGAGCCTTGAGGTTTATCTTGAAACCTTCTGCAGGGTTGGAGCACAAACTCTCGCTGAGCTTCTTCAGAAGCTTGCAGGATCAAGCCACCCTCCAGATTGTGTAATCTATGATGGTTTCATGCCTTGGGCTCTTGATGTTGCAAAGAAATTTGGGCTACTTGCTGCTGCTTTCTTCACTCAGAGTTGCACAACAAACACCATATACTTGCATACTTATAACAAGTTGCTGAAACTGCCTCTTACACAGACAGAGTATTTGTTGCCAGGGTTGCCAAAACTTGAAGCTGAGGACTTGCCATCATTCTTGAACAGATATGGAACCTATCCAGGTTATTTTTATGTTGTTGTGAACCAACTTTCCAATATTGACAAAGCAGATTGGGTTCTTGCAAACACATTTTATGATATGGAGCGAGAGGTAAGTGAGTTCACTAGCTGAAAATTCTGTTCATTTATCTTGATCTGTTCTTGTTTGATGAAATGACTTATAGACAGTAGTAGTTATTTGGGTAAATGTTATTTAAGTTTCTTTAAGGTTTTTATCAAAGTTGGTTCTAGACTCTACTTTCAAAACAATGATTTTGGTCTCTATGTTCTTTATATTTGGTAGATTTTGTTTCTCTTCTTAAGATCTTTATGTTTTGGAAAGAGAGACAAACTCTACCAAATGATGAGGGCCAAAATATTTACATTTGGAAACATATGAAGGCTAATTTTGATCAAAATTGAGAGATCTAAAACGCATTTTATCCTAGTTTTTGAGTTGGTTATTGATGATTAGATTTTGAAATGAAATTCATTATAGGTTGTGGATTGGCTGTGCAAGATTTGGCCATTAAAGACAATAGGACCAACCTTGCCATCTATGTACTTGGACAAAAGACTCCAAGATGACGAGAACTATGGTATTGAAATGTATGTTCCAAAGTCAGAAGCTTGCATGAAATGGCTTGATGATAAACCAAAGGGGTCAGTTGTGTATGTTTCTTTTGGGAGCTTCGCAGGGCCGAATGTGGAGCAAGCTGAGGAACTAGCTTGTGGTTTAAGAGATAGTGGAAGTTATTTCCTATGGGTGATTAGAGACTCTGAGCAAGGACAGCTTCCAAAGGGGTTTCTTGACACATCAGAGAAAGGTTTAATAGTCAATTGGTGTCCCCAATTGCAAGTCTTGACACATGAGGCTTTGGGGTGTTTTATCACACACTGTGGTTGGAACTCCACATTGGAAGCTTTGAGCTTAGGAGTTCCAGTGATTGCAATGCCACTGTGGACTGACCAGATCACAAATGCAAAACTTATTAAAGATGTGTGGAAAATTGGAGTCAAAGCTGTTGCTGATGAGAAAGATATAGTTAGAAAAGAAACTATCACACATTGCATAAAAGAAATATTGGAGACTGAAAAAGGAAATGAAATAAAGAAAAATTCCATCAAGTGGAAGAATCTGGCCAAGAGTAGTGTTGATGAGGGAGGAAGTTCCGATAAAAATACTGCAGAATTTGTGAATGAATTG